TTCCTAGTACTATCCAGTTGTTGCTCGTAATCTAATCAGCTACCTAGTTCTCCAAAAATCCTCCATCCATTTATATAAGAAGCACCCAAATATTCAGTAATCGATGTCACTATAAGTACTACTAGAAATTACAATAATGATCAATACCAATCTACCTTATGTCTTTACCTCTTCAATAATAGGTATATGGTACCATGTACCATGACCATGCCCAACCACCCTAAAAATGTACTCGAATAACTTTTAAGAAGAGCTCAGTAGGTATATCCAACTGAAGAAAATACTATATGTGTCGAATCATGTTGTAATTATATTAAAATAATCTGCGAAAATTTTATAAAGTCTATTCATGAAGTAAATATAATAATTTTTCGACATTTTATATCAAATATAGGGTGTACCTATTCCGTTTCTGTCTTTGGTTACGGTTAGCCATTTCGTTTGTACAGGGTAAGCTGAAAAAACGGTTCCTGAAATAAAATCTCAACAGTGCTACCAGAGCAACCGGTGATATACAAATATGTCAAACACAAAAATAGTAACATACTATACCAAGATTCCTAGAGTTAATAGGTTGTCTGGTAATGGGAACCAGATGACGTCATCTGCGTTGCCTAATTGAGATATTTGCATTATGTTTGAGTACAGTGACTCTTTGTTTGGGCACTCCAGATGACGTTACAAAACTTATCAGGCAACCCAAGGATGATACACACGACTACTACAGTAAAGGATAACCTATCCTCATAGGGCCTGTGTGGAACAAATCCCCCCCCTCCTTCCCCCCACGTCAAATCACCAATTGTAACATAGGCAGCATGTTATTTCTCGCCTAGACGTAAGCTGTTTGAACAGCTGACGGCTTAGTTATAACGTCGGAAATGGTGACACATCAATATGGCGACGCGATTACCAAAAACGAGCCTGATCCTGTAGGTCTCTATTATCCTTGCAGGCAACCTACCTTTTTCAAACAACCTTGAGGCGTTTTCTCGCGGGGCGAATGGTTCGAACTACGGTTTAAACCAATTTGTAGATGACGTCATCACTTGTGAACGCGAGAAAATGGAAAGTTTGAACCACAGTTATGTTAACGAAGAACAAGACATGAGTCCGGTTTGAATTTTTTTGAACCAGGTTCAAGAGTCGTCACTGGTTCAACGCCAGAATGTACAGGGGTGCGATTTTCGAAACCATTCGAGTACATTTCGTACACGAAATTTGACTGACAGCAATGTAAATTAAATGGGGAGCAGTCAAATTTCGTGTACGAAATGTACTCGAATGGTTTCAAAAATCGCACCCCAGGTTCGAACCTAATAACCTAATTGAACCGTATCGAACCAATGCCACCGCGAGAATGAAAACAGCTTTGCTTGGTAAAGGTACGGTTTGTTAGAATAGTACGCGACGCACAACTGACAACGTAAACGTTGTCATTGGTTCAGGTATGACGTACACCCGTCTCCTGACGTGAGAAAACGGGTGTACGTCATACCTATGGTCATACCTGAACCAATGACGACGTTCACGTTGTCAGTTGTGCGACGCGTACTCTCCTAACAAACCGTACCTTTACGTGCAGAAATGACAAGCTTAGCAGAACAGCAGTTTTTTTCCAGTTTCCAACCAAGAACCGACATTTTACCGCCAGTTACCGGCCAGTAAACCAAAAATACAAACGGTATATACCTATACACCCCAAATTACAACCGCAGTAAATAAGTAGGTATACCACAGAAAACTTATGGGCAATTTGTATGGAAATGCCTCAGCCTAAATAATACCAGAGAGAATAATCTATACCTAGGTTATGTTTTTTGTATAAGTCGTGCACAAGAGGGCTTGGATTATTTGGTGGCTAAAAAGTTCAATGTGAGCTCTGTATTGAGGTTATCGTAGCTTAGGCATTTGTGGAAATTAGGCTCTCCAAACCACGTGATTTTTCAATACGGCGACCGTGGACAATTTGACGTTTGTTTGTTTATCTTGAGTTTATTTGGAATATTTTCAAGCTAATTACAGTTTACTTTGTTATAATATACTTTTTGAGATGCAGAATGAATATTTAAAGACTTGAATGCAGGAAAATCTGAATCTGGGCGAACGGTTACTTTAAATAAATGTCCAGATGATATTTTGATCCACAGTTAACATTAATGAGCAAATGAAGGCCTACAAAAGCTTAGATTCTTACGAATATTTCGAAAATGGCTTTATTTGAGATGCAGGAACAGTGGTAGTGTAAAATTTTCACGTTTTAATTGGAAAATTTTAAAACAAAGGGCAATGAAAAAAGCCTGACATCATCCTTGTTACCTTGTTGAAACTAACTTCCGTTGGAATGCCTAATTAAATTCACAATTAATTATTAATATTAATGGCGATTTCCATTTGTCAGTCAGTGCGCACTGAGTGTATCCGCATCTTGTTCTAAAAGCATATCTATTATAACATGTAATAGGGATAAATTTTTTTGCACTGGTTCGACAAATGGAAATTGCTGTAAGATTGGGCTTCGAGATATACCTACCCCAGAGGAATAGAGCTTGTGTAATCGCATGTGAATTGAGTCAGAACAAAGCAAGTCGAATTTAGTGCGGATTTGACGATCTGTTGATGACTTTTTAGTTTAACAACTAGAATTTCCAACAGCAAATGAAAATTCCGCTGGGGTATATCTACTATATCTACCTCTCGGCATAACTTTATTATTTGTTTTTTAAATGTTGGTGCAAGTGAGGACAGAAAAATACAGACTTGGTACAAGGTTTCTAAAGTTAATAGGTTGCCTGGTAAGGGGTAACTTGATGACGCATCTGGGGTGCCTTGTGGAGATTTGCATTCAATATACTTACTTTGCATTATTTTGAGGCACCCCACATTACGTCATAAAGTTATCAGGCAACCAACCTTGGACTTGGTAATGGACAATGGTATCCAACCGGTGAACGCCAAGGCCGCCTACCCTTTTGAAACTTCAACCGAATTTTCGCGACGAACTACTTCCATGATTCCATGAACTCAAACGCTATCGCGAGAAATTCATGACGTCATATTAAACGTAGTTCGCCGGAAGCATGGACGCAACTTCAAGCCAGCGTTCAAGCTTATGACGTCACAAATGAACTATTGATGAACTACATTCGTCGCGAAAATTCGGTTTTGGTTAACCGAAGCTGTTGACAATGGCCGTGTTCGTAATTATCATCTTTTTCGTCGATTTGCTCCGAAATTTTGACAGGCACGTGACTGGATCAGACAGTTTCAATTCACAAATCACGTGCCTGGGAAAATGTCGGAGTAAATCGACGAAAAAGATGACAAACGAACCCGACTACTGGTAAAAAACCGAATGACAGTTCCTGTTTGTCTCAAATGACATTGTTGACATTTAACCAGGCAGATCGCAGGAAGCATAGCATACTATACTCCAACTTTGTTGTTCCAAATAACCGACATCCAAATGTTCTGGAAGGTGTTACGCTATCCGGATACTAAACCTTAACCTAGAAAACCGTACAATTTCCACAAAAACAATTGTCACAAGTTCCTAAACTATAACTACACACATACACATTGTCGAAAAAGCGAGCAAACAAAACAAAACCGACACTCGCCATCTCTCTTTTCTTATTATCGTTCCTCTCAATTCAATAATAATCACATTCCAGCAATTTAAAACAGAAACACTCGATCCAAGTTCGCGTCTCTCGCCCAAGTCCGACCGCCCCTCCGTCCCCACCCCGTCATAATCCAGCCCAGGTACCCGGTGGTGGGGGGCTACATCCCCTCCATAGCTCCGCCCCTACGAGTGTCAACCGATCCGCGGAAAACAGTTGAAGTCCAAATACCAACGAGCGACGATGTCAGTGGTGTTGCGCGTACACCGGTTTTTTTTTTTTTTTTTTGCTGTTTTGTATTAATTAATTTTTAAGGCATTAATTATTTTAAGTAATTAATTTTGATAATTATACAAAGTGTCGCAGAGGACAAGAATTATTATTAGTGGGGCAAAAAAAAAAAACGGTTCCAGAGTGCAACCGGAACCAGATAGAGTGTTGTTATACCAACCCCGGTCGAAAAACTTGAAGGATTATTTTACTACACCCAGTGCAAGAGTGAGAATACGTGAATTTGAACAGTGATTTAAACTTTTTTTTTGGATTTAATTTGTCCGTGTTGCAGGAATGATAAAAGGTAAATTGGAGATTGAGATTATGCATTTTAAGTTCTTCTCACCATTAATTACCTACACTAACGGTGTAAGGTTCTTCTAGGTATAAGGTAAATTACTTTCGAGAATGTAATATTCACTTCTGCTTTCGTTATTTGTTGTGGAAAAAACACAATTGCGTGTTTATTTTTCTTGCTTCTGAGTATTGAACATGAGAAATGTATCAGAGGTGTGCTCGATTATGGTGCACTAACTTGCACCAAGTGCAATAGAGTCGGTACCTTAATGTTCCAATTTTGTCAGATCGCCAGTATTTGGTTTCCTCTATTTTGATAATCTGAAAAAGAGTAAACACTAATTATTTCTGAAAATTATTACTAGGATTGGTTTTTGTTGTTACACTAAATTGCACTGAGTGCAAAATATCTCAGATCTAGTTTTATCGCATCATGGTAAATTGAAACCATGTAATACCTACTCATGTTTGTAGCATCTTACCCTTGTCTCTTTGATGTGGATATCATCACCATTCGGTATCCAAACTTTTCTTCCATGAACTGACCCATGAAATAAGTTACGCAAAATAGAAATCTGCAATTTGCAGTCATGATAGTAGTAGGCTAGGCTAGGCTTTACAGTAGCTGGGTTTGGTTTGCTTACTCCATGCACTCTAAGTACTCCGTGGCATTTTAATCATTTGAATATGGCTTTTTAGAGTAAATGGAGTAACTTCCTACACGTTCGAAGAAAAAGCCTAATCATAGAAGAAACCAAAAGCTAACCTAGAAAATATAAGGCTAGTTTACCAACAAAAATAAAAACAAAAATAATAAACAGAACAAGAAAAGAACTGAGAACTGCCAATTTGATACCAAAATATTTCACAGAAGGTATTAGCATGGTTTTATTACTTTCATTTGACCTGAACCAAATAATAACCTGGTATCAAAATATATAGTTGTCAATGATACCACAAACGCTTGAAAATGCTTTGAATTGGGGGATTTACAGGATTTAACATTGATCTTGTAACGATAATTTTGTGAAACTGTTGTTTAGTTTGGTTACCTACTTGGCTCCAGCAGCATTGATAAATTAATTGCCTACGTACAAAATCTAAATCATTCTTTTGTGTAAATGTTATGTTATTGATTATTATCAGTTCTGTTTGATTTGTTGCATAATTGTTTGGCAAAGTTGATGAAAAGCCTAAAACTAGTCCAAGTTTCTGTTAATACTGGTTCTTGGACAATTTTTCTAAGGTTCTCAATATCCTCATACATGCACTGGAATTTGTAGCACTCCTACTCTATAAAATTATCCAGCAAATAAAAAACTCAATTAACATTAAGTAACAATCTCTACCTACCTAATTCTCAATAAGGTGTTAGGTACCATGTTCTTGATATTGATAATCCAATAAATCAAATCAAGAACCAGTAATAATCAACTACATATTGGAGTATTTTTGGCTCTTGGTTCACTGGATGAGAGACATAAAGGCAAATTTTGATGATTATCTAACTGCTCGATCTTGATCCGCTAGCCAATATTTCTAGAGGCAATCAAGATGAGCTGGTAATAATCAAAATTTGTTTTCATTGTTTCTGCTGGAATTGGAACAGTATGTACTGAGTTAGAAGTGCTGGTAATAATCAAAAATATTAAGTCACAATAGACCTTTCAAAGTAAAACAAATTCTTTAATCTCATTTTTGCCTCTAGATTTGTTTGGCATGCTGGCACAGTCTTCAAAGATTAGGAACTCATATCATTGATGATATTTAAGTAAATTCACTTCAACCATGCACTGTTCCAAAGAACTCAAAAAGTTTCCTATAAACTCCAGTTTCCGAGTTTTTCAGCTTCAAACTGATTTTTTGTACAAAACTTCAAACTGAATTTGTAGCTACTGACCAGGGTTGGCAAAGAACATTTCATTTGGATTTTAACCAGGGCAGTGGTGAAAATTTGTTACTGTCCAAAATTGATCAAAAACGTTGAAGATTTTTTCAAAAAGATTTGAAAGATGATGACTTGAAGATCGCAGAAAATGTCCTTTCTTCACTGTAATTCTCTAAGGAAAAGCCGTTTCCACAATTCTTTTCCTCCTAGACATGAACAAACTCAATTTCATAATATGGGTGGAAGGATTTGAAGAAATATACAGGGATTCATTCTCAAATTTCTGTTTTATATTTCACTCCAACTAAAACCCAAGCGCCATATTATATTGATAATAGAAAATTTAGCATTAAAGAATACTCTCGCTGCTCTCTATAAAAGTAGGTATGTAATAGATATTCAAATTTGTAAAGCCCTTTTCACAAGAAAACGTGCCCCTAAGTATTATTAAGTAAATGTTAAGCATGTGCCATGGAAAAAGTGTGTTATTATAGCTTAGGGGTGGGTACCAACTATACCAGATCTCTACAATGTATGCAAACTAGCATTCCGATTATACCATTTGCATAACAGATTATTTAAATATATTAAAAACGTAAAGGGTATTTTTTTTAATGATACCTATAGGGTGTCTAAGAGGCATTTAAAGACTTGTGCCATATCGCGTGTAAGTCGTGTGTGTGTGTGCAAAAAGGGTCTGACTTTTCTTATTATAATTTTTATCTGTATACCCATATAAAATTATAATAGTTTGGGGTAAATTTAAATAAATATCCATTTTCATTGAAATTGATACCATCGAATATAACTGATTTTTTTAAAGAAGCATTAGTGGAAAGTACATAATATTGTAAATTATAAGCTTTCTAGCTAGGTAGATTCATAATTACCTCAGAGTAGGTATAGGGTCCATAATTACACCCAGTAGGTAGAAACAATCCATCATTATTCGAAGATTGTTTGATTCAAATTTTCTTCGTAATAAACTAATTATTTTAAGTGGGTCCCAAAAGTAACCATACAAAAAGTTTTTCCAATAAATTTAATGGAGCAGGTAATAATAATTATCTTCTGATAAGCCCCACCATTACTGGGGAAAATAGCTTCTAAATTGAAAGTTGTTTTTGGGTAATTTTTCCATAGTTCGGACATGTGATAGGTCAATTACAAAAGTGCTTCATGCTCGGAAAATTTACTTGTACCTACCTAAATATTGATTCTAATAATTGCTCCGCAATCAGAGTGTAGGTGAATTGTTGAATTGAAAAACTTATATTTTTGTCTATTAGGTATAGGTAGGTATATCCAGATCAAGGGTTGCCTCATATGAAAACTAGAAAAATTCAATTAAAGTTGTCTTACATTTTGATCAAATGCAATCAAGTTATTTGTCCCCGTTAAAACACGAAATTTTTAAGAAGTAAGTAACTTCATAAAATAAATCATGTGTCCAAGTATCAGTTACAGCTAGATATCAGTTTCCAAAGCAGTTGTAAAATCCTTTCGAGACAAAACCGATTAAACTAAAATATCAATACAATACATTCCACCATTAGTTTTCCCTTTAATTCGAAACTCCTAAGGGAAAATTGGACAGAAACAAGATGTTTTTGGGAGACAAAACTAAAGGAAAACTTTTGTAATTGGTCTGCTGTAGTAGTAACGAAAAGTTTTGATTAAAACACTCGATTTGATGTTTGGGACTATTACAAGTTTATTCTTTGAGATTGTATATTTGATATTTTGCTGCAATGTGCTAGTAAACATGGTTATAGTTTTTGTGGAGTAATTAATTAAGAGTTTTATTCGTTTCTATTATTGTGTATCATCAAAGTTTTTATATAGGACACTGAAAAAGGATATCTGATGCACAGGCCAGTTGAATGGCCAATGTACCTATATTATATTATATCAGGATGTAAAAATCAAGCAGGCTCAAGTCTGGTTATTCTAGTGACCAAAAACATGAGCGCCTGGTAATTTACGATTCTTGTGGAGAAAATGTTTCTTTTGAGAATTCATATTTCAAGATAAGTTCTAAGATACTTACCTGAATCCTTACATGAAACATGTTTCATAGAAGTTAGAAATAAAGAAGAGAATATAAGAACATGAAATTCCCATGGTTTATTAAGTGAGAAGCTCATTCAATGTCAGAAGAGAAACTGTTAAACAACTATCGAGGGAAGCAATAAACTCCTGAAAATATCTTTATATTTGGATTTCACCATCTTAACAGATAGAAACACAAATTTTAACATACTTTCATCATCATTTGTAAAACTATTTTTCTATCAGTCTTTAGTATCTATGGCAATATCAGATCCAATTTAATTCTAAAACCCATTGTTCGCGGATGTAAACCCCGGTCAAAAAAAAGAGTCCGAAATCGGAGGACCTCGGCCGGAGCTATTCGAAGGTCCAAAAAGGCGAATTTCGGGGTAATTATTGCCGCCTTTATCGCGTCAGGAATCTGGGGAAACAGGTTGCAGGCAGCAGGACGATTGATGAGCGAAGAGGCTGCAAGAATTGCTCTTCGCGGACTTTTGTCGGTGGTGTCCCAACATAAACTTTGGCGGTATTGAAGGGGATTTTTCGAAATTAATAATGTTGGAGATTGTGGTGAAATATTTACGCAGACTATCTATACACTGGTAGGTATACGGTCAGAGACACAAAATCTCAGAATTTGTACATGTTTAATGATTGTAAATGAAGCAACCATCAACGTAATCAAAATACTCGAAATTCCTGTCGATTTGAGGTCTGTTCTCATAAACAGAGCGTTTTTGATTGGAGAAAAACGCCGACAACCAGTTCTGACTGTTTTCAACCAATTTTCTTTGAGAACAAACCTATAAAGTAGTCAAATCCGAAAAATTGATTTTCGATCGGAACTAAAAGGTACGGAAAAACCCATATCGTCTTCGAATCGTATAATTTTACGATATATAACCTTGAGCGAATCCAAAGTGAGATCGGAGAGATATAATAAAACGTATTTTTACTGACACACCGGGTGAAAGTTTTCATAAAAATATCGGACGTACGTCTTATCGCTATCTCTGTGCAGCAGAAGAGGACGATAAATCGAAAATCGATGATCGCGACACGAAAACCGAAAACGGTGAATCGGACGTTTGGAATTTTTCGAGAGCGGTAAAGAACGCATTATTGCCGCCCACGCATTATACAACCGGAAATTTTGACATTTATTTATTATTCCTCTTCAGTATGCGATGTTATTTTTTTTTTTTTTTGTTATTCGATATGGCAAATCTGTTGGAGATAATAATGTTATAAAATTGCTTGTTTTATGATGTATTTATTGATTTTCTTTCTGATGACTTAAGTTAAGATTTGTATATATAGATAAACATCACTTGTTCAACACTCAAGTAGAGGCATTACATATATAGAGTAACTCATGCTCACATATAAGTGGAAAAGGATAAGAAGAAAATAGGAGTTCAGGAGACAAGAAACAAACACGAAGATGCACTGATCACTTGATCATTTACTCGTTTAAATATTAATATTTGTGGTAAATACAGTAACTAAGCGTTGGAAAGATACACAAGGAACGACTAGAAATTAATGAAAAATTTGATAGAATATGGAGAGAAGAAACTGAGACAATACACAAAACACACGACATTAATGGTTGATATTTTGCGGATGAAATTTTATAAAAATATTCCACTGAAGCAAATTTTCTTTCGCCATTTTTATATGAATTTCAAATTTGAAATCTTCAAACATGCATTATGCCACTCTCTGTTCCTGCAACAAACTGGATCTATGGTCAATAACTCTGTGTCTGTACAACTTGCATCGACCATCAACGGATTTGCTGTGATGTTTGATAATAATTTGAAGCCCTTTTAAAGAAGGGGTAAGAGATGATGCAAAAATTACACAGCTAAAATAACTAGCTACAGACCTGCTCTTCTAGAATTAGTGGATCTTCAAAGGTACATAAGTAAAATGAATAATCCATGATTCGAGAGGCTTGTTCACTGTTTGTGAGGCTGATGTTCACTACTGGCTCTGGAAATTTCCAACAATGTTTTCTATTTAAAATTCTGTAGGAGGAATGACATGGTTAACGTTTAGACCAAATTTCTTTAAGGACTCTACTGTCAAAAATGTATTGTCCTTAGATTTTTATTGACGATATTGGTATCACTCTTCTCATCGAATTTTCTGTTTTTTGGGGACGATATAACAGTCCAAGATACAATGGTAGTATAGAACGACAAAATCTAAATAATATGCTGCTGAGCAAGTGCTGTTCCATTAGATTGAGTAGGATTATATACATACTTCCTCTTCGCTCTCCATTCAGATCTTAGGAGTATTAACCATCTGTAGGTAATAGTTCGCATAGCGAACGAAAGGCTTGGTTTCATTAAAAGATCACAAATATTTTAGGCGCCTGATTCTTGAAATAAGGCAACAGCGTTCTCATGAGAACAAAACATTTCTTGTCTTTGTCATATAAAGTTTGCATATAACTGAAGAGAAGGACAGGGCACTTGCTCTCAAAGGATCCCTGTTTTCTCGTTTTGAGAATCAGGTGCCAGGAATCTAAATGCGATGCATTTATCATATTTTTGTCCTTGAGTAAGATCATACATTAGAATGTTCAAGCATATTTTGGTATTTTCTACATCATCAAATTCATATAAATATAGACTGGACCAAGTCCACCGTTACTTTATAAGATTTATTCAATTTGAGCTATTTGGAGGAAGACCATCATCCTACTTACTTAGGTCTAAATAATTCATATCCAAGTTAAATTCAACATTATTTGTTTTAGCAACTTCAAAAATCATCCGTAAAGATCTGTTATGTTCATGCTCATTGTTTGAGGCTATCGTCAGGTCATCAAAATAAATATTTACATCTTCAATTTGTCAAAGATTTCATAACTTTTTCTCTGGAAGAGTTCTGGCGCGCTTGGAATACCAAATGACAAACGATAGAATTTATACCGCCCAAACGGGGTATTGAAAACATATAGATCTGAACTTTTTTGATTCAATTCCAGCTGCCAAAACCCATCCTTCATATCTATAACAGTGAATATAGTTTTACCTGTCAACTTACTTATTATATCTGTACTATAGTTGAAATCATAAAATGCTCTCTTTTTCTATATTTGTTCAAAGGTTTAAGGTCAATACAAATTCTTAGTGATTTATCTGGTTTTTCAATTATCATAAGGCTGTTAACCCAAAGGATAATTCACTCTTTCTATTACATTTATCTTTTCTAAAGTGATTTCAAAGTGTCAAGAATAGAAAAAGGAACTTTTCTGTTGCACTGGATTACCAGGATTAGCAGGTTCCTGCAATTCAATTTTGCAAAATCGTGGAATTTCCCCTAAACTTTCAAAAATATCCCTGTATTTTGTATAGAATTCATCCTTGGTTTCAAATATCTGTAAACTATCTACTCTTCCAATCAAGTGAAATCTTAAACAAACTTTCAAGTCTAAAAGTGGTTCAGCATTAAAATCAACAATGTAAGAAACGACACCCCTGTAAGAACATTCTAAATTTACCTTACTCAAAGGTTTATAAACTTGGAATTACCATAAGAAACTAACGTGATTATTGAGTTTTTGAATGGAGGTTTGTTTAAATTTTTTTCAAAATCGCTTCATGGTAGGATACTAGTGTCCGAATCAGAATCAAGTTTGAATTTTACCGTGAGTCCTTGCACTTAGATAACTTCATACCATGAAGAAAGTTTCACGGTTTTGCGTTCAATTATGAACAAAGTAATATTATCATCTTCTTGGTCACTTGTTTGCTGTTCAATATATCTTACTCCTCTATTTAGACTTTGTTCCTCAGATTTTGCAGTTCCTTGATTGGCTTGGGTTTGATTTTGTCCGAACTACTTTGTGGTTCTGCCTTGTTCTGCCTTTGTCTGGGTAGTATTCGTATTGGCATTTTTTACATTTATATTTCGTTAAGTTAACATCTTCTTCCTTGCTCAAAACTTTAACATGTTGTTTGCTTAACTCAATACTTTTGCAGTCGTCTACTATTTTCTTTATTATTAGGTCTGTCTCTTTTAGAAGTCTTAACTCGCTTTCTTTACAATTAATACCTACTATTAGTCCATCGCGAATCATTCTTTCTTCATATATGATTCTAGACACAAGTCTTTGTTGCAATGAAACTCACACAATTCCGCTTGTTTTTTTAATTCTGTGAGGTATTTTCAGCTTCTGTGTGGAATTTATATATGTTTTCATAGGGACAACTTGGTCTTCAGTGAAGGTATTGAAAATATCTAAACCTTCATCACCAAAACAATACAGAATTTTAACGTCCTCTGCAGCAGAGTGCTTTTTACTTGCTGTTAAATATAACTTAAATGTTTGTTTCTACGGACCCTAATTGTCTACAGGCTGCAGGATTATCATACAAGGTGAACAGTGGAGATGGAGGTTTGAAATCCATTTTACTCTTTGTTTTTTAATAGTCTCCCTACCACGTGTTTAACGAGGTAGTTTTAATTGTTAAGTTAGGTTTTAAGCTTGGGTTTCTTCTTACTTCAAAACCATTCCAATTGATTCACACCTGACACCATGTTTGCATGTTTTGTCTTGTTCCTTCCAATATTAAACAACTTTTTACTAGTATGATTGGTCTATTTATTATAGCTCTTTACAGAAGACTTGAAGTACCTTATAGACGCTTGACAATCTATCTGCTTGTAGATCAACTACCAGCAGTATCAGTCGAATATGCGTTGACACATACCTACATAACAAATGATACTCAAAATATCTTGTTTGTACTACGTTAATAAAGAAACAAACGACTAAGTAAACTGTTCCCTGGGTCTGTTTCCATTTATGAAGAAAGAAGAGGGAAAATCTACGAAAAGGCAATACATAAATGATAAATGAATAGTGAACAACCACCTGTTATGCCTAACATGAAACTTTAAACTTGGATACCTTGTTTCAAATCAAATGTTGCAAGGAAATTCAGTTTTATGTTCTGTGCAACCCAGTTTTCTCGGTGTAAACTTGGAACATTCAAAGAAAGGCAACAGATACACAATGATCCCATATTTTGTTGCAGACTTGTACTTATAAGTAGCAATTATGAGAAGACCCTGGCGCTAGACTAAACGATTATAACATAAACATTTTAAAAATCTCCGAAATTGTCACTGTTTTAGAAGAAATTCATCGTATTTAGTGATTCGTGAAAAGGTGCCACTACACTACCCATTATTGAAGAGTTAATCCAGTCATTCTCATTTTGAGCTTGGAATGAACTGTTCAAATACTAAGCTTTTCTGTAAAAATTCAGATTTGTCTGACTGTATTTTCATATTGAAAGACAGTAATAGTTCGAATACTAGTTTTAAAGAGGTTATGTGTTCTTGAAGGCTGGTTGAATAGATAATGATATCCTCCATATATACTAGATAGACTTTTCCTAGTAATCCTCATGAAACATTATCTATTGCTCGTTGGAACGTAGCAGGAGTATTTTTTAACCCGAAGGGCATACGTGTGTATTCGTAATGTCCATGGTCTACATTGAATGCCCTCTGATGTTTTAGATTAGAATCGAAGTATGGAATTTTATCAACGCAATCACACTTACTATGCTTAAGAATAGAAAATTGAAAACTATTGGAAGTGACTCTACAACAGTCTCGGATGCCAGAGTTTGAGCACTCCAGAGTTACTCCAAAATACTTCGTCCGCGCTTTGACTACGCAAATTTTGCACTCTGGAGTTGTTCTTATTTTCCTCGTCCCCGTCCCCTGAAGCACCTACCTTTTTCATCATCACATTATCTAATTCAGTTGATAAAAGTAAGCGTTAGAGTGTAACTGTAAAGGGTACAATGTGCGTCAGGAGTGGAGTGCTCTAGGAACTTGACGCCCTTCAGCCGAAAGCGGCTCAGCAGTCAACTGATGCCCTCAAGAAGGTGCTGTGGTCACTGGTAGTAGATGAACTGATCATCGCGTTAACCGCCCAAGGGATCACGGTCCTAAGATATGCTGAGGACCTCACAGTCATCATTATAGGGGTAAGCATGGCAGGATCATTAGTGATCTCATGCAAAATGCCCTATAAATGTCATTATTAGATAGTATTTTTAGGAGGGTTTGAGCGTCAACCCCAACAAAACCATAATTGTACCTTCTACAAGGAAAAGCAGGCTAAATCTAGCAGCCCGAACCTTAAATGAAATAAAATTCAATTTCGCAAGTAAACTTAAATATCTGGAAGCCATCTTGGAACAGAAACTTACTTAGAACCAACATCTTAAGAGAGCAACCGACCGGACAATAGCCACATACTGGACATGCCGGAAAATTTTCAGCAAGACTTGGGATGTAAATTCAAAAATGGAACCATGGCATACAACCATCATTAGGCCTATGCTAACCTATGGGGCTATTGTCTGGGGACAGACTACTAAGCCGAAAACTACACTACGTTCAAAGAATGACATGCCTCAACATAACTGGTGCAATGAAAACCACACCAACTATATAGGGCTTTGGAAGCGTTTCCGCACTGTTGGAATAGAACCAAGTGCAGAAGTCGGTTTGCAGAAAGTCCGCATATGGCGTGCGGCAACGAACTAGCTTCCATTGTTGGTGGCCAGGGTGAGCCCTGCAACACCATGTTTCTTCAAAAAGCACCACGCAATCAACAAAAAGTATTGGAAAGAACACAGTGGCAGGGGTAAGTAACATCTACACTGATGGGTCCAAAACTCAAACAAGCTCGGGATGCGGAGTATACTCCAAAGCTCTCAAACTGAACCTAATAGCCCTTGGCTTCATGCCTAATGTCCTCCAAACGGCAATTATTGGCATAACCTTAACTGGGAAACAAATCAACTTCGCAAGTGAAGGTGAGTCATCTTGGATCAAAAACTTACTTGGAACCAACATCTTAAACGAGATCTTAAAAGAGTAACTGACTGCGAGTTGGGGTCTAAAGCCAGAAATGATCTATTGGTTATTAACAATGATTGTCAGACCCATATTGACTTACGCTGCAATAGTATGATAGTCAAAAGTAAAACAACAGACAGCGCAAAATTGATTGGCAACTGTACAAAGGTACATAATGCATGTCTTGGAATTACAGGAGCAATGTACACCTGTTCAACCGCCGAAATGGAGCGCATGCTGGGCCTCTTTCTACTAGATATAAAAGTGAGGAAAGAGGCCTACATGGGAACCTCGAGAATAATGCAGTCCCTAAAACTAAAGGAAGGGGACTTTGTCGGCCACATGAGCATTATGAAAAATGCATGAATGTGAAGACAAAACCAGTTGATCACATGGAATACAGGTACGAATTTGAACACTCCTTCAAAGTGACTATTGAGGACCGCAAGGGAGAAAATATCGTATCTGTATTCCCGAACGGGTCATCTGTAGTGGTGTTCACGAGAGTCTCATTTTCGAGAGTTTTGCATGGTCACATAATACAGAATATGAATATACAGGGTGTCCCACGAGGTTTTACCTTACCCAGGTGATAACTTCGGAACATCGGAACGCGTCATCGAATGTTCCACTTTGTAATTTTTTATCATTTTCTTTAAAAAAACGACAAATGCCATAATATACTACTTTAAGTTACATTTAAGATTCTAAACTTGCTGTCACTTGACCCAAAACTGGATGAAACATGTAGAAGCGGCCAAGGTAATTGTGAATCACTCCTGAACTGCTCCAGAGTAATTTAAAGGGGTCACTAAAAAGCACCTCTGTGATCTTGTTATGTAGATTATGCATGACGATATTTCGATATATTTGGCGAGACTCTCGTACGAGACGCGAGGCTGTAAAACAAGACTTTTTATTTCATCGGCGTAACGAGACAAGACGAAAAGATTTTATGAAAGTCGTTGGTCTCATATGGGAATCACTAGTCATCTTTTTGATATACGGACGAATTGAAAACAGAGCAAGAAGTATACGGCCCACTATGTAGACTATCAACAGCCCTAGGAGAAAGCCCAATCATAATATTTCAAGCGGAAATAGAACTTTGCGCTATAAAATGTCTTGAAGACTTACGAAGAGCCATAAGCATTACCTAAACACCCTAACTATCACAATCTAAGTAAACATAGGATTGAATTTTTGCTTTGGCTGTAATTAACATTAACTTCCAAGAGAATATATAATTCATGCGCACGCGCGTTTATGATTGGTATAGGAACTTATTGTTTTGTATCATCTAGTATACAAATACAAAACCTACGACCCTATTAAGTCAACGACTAAATCTAAATTCAATTTGATCTTATATATATGGGGACATATGCGTGACCATCTTTTGTCCGAACAAGCCGTTGCGTGTTTGCCAGTGATTACCACCAAACCGATCACTCTAGTTTAGCTTTTGATAAATTAAAATTGAACGATTTGATGATCAATATTAGAAAAAAAAACAAATTCAGGTTCTTTTCAATGGGGCCTGGTAGATGTTAAGTATTTAGAGCTACCGGTGGTTACCGACCTACACAGATGGTGTTAAGAAGGACCGAGCAGCACCACGGACACGCCCTAGTTGAAACAAATGATGCGTCAGACGGTGCATGGTACACAAAATATTAATATTTCTACCTGAAGGCTGCTCCTTGTAAAGGTATCCCGCATTTGTATAATTTACACTAAACAGAAGTGACGACAGGTGAAGAACCGAATTTTAACCTACAAGTATACATAATAGAAAATAAAGCTATTTGGCCAAACAGATACTGACTATTACAAGCTTATTAACTGTAAATTCTTGTAAAACATAATAAAGCTGCAACATTATAATTATTATTACAAAAGATATGATGCAGATTGCTCATACTTGGCACAGATTAAAATCGCTGAAACGTTAACGCCAGAAGCGATGAAAACTTCTTTGAGCTGGCATTTTGCATTTTTTTTTGAGAAACGTGGTTTGGTATTTCGAATTTCAGTTTAATTGGATATTAGAATGGGATTTTGTTAATACCAATCGGGGTTTTTCTTATGTTTGGTTAATTATTATGGTAATTTATTTGTTACATTGATTTTGTTTTTATTTGATGGTTGAAAACGAACATGTTTTTGTGGATAAAAGTGTTCTGCAATAGA